TGGAAAAGGAAGCGTCCCTGACTTAAGGCTGAGAGCAGCATAAATCTATGGTGTGGATCCAGGCACGGCTGAGCATAGTTAGAGGGGAAGTTCTTAGATCCCTCTGGCCATAGCAGGTGCTGCTTGGTGCCGTGTTGAGGGGAGCCTTGATCTTTCAAAACTAAATGCCTACTTATTATTTTAGATGATAAACAAACCTACTGAAGGGACAAGTTTTTAGTGATCAGGGTCCATGACCTTCCCTGTCTCTTGTCCCCATTGTGGAACCACTTGTCCCATGTTATATATAGAGTTATTTAAGGCACTCTGAATATCTCTGCCGTGGCTTAAGAAGAGAAGGCCTATAGGTTTGTATTTTTCTCTTTTACTTACTTTTATTTTATGAGCATTATTGTCATGGGTGTCTCCTGGAACTGGAATTACAGTCACTTGTGAGCTTCCATGTGGGTGGCTGGGAACTGAACCCTGGTCCTCTGGAAGAGCAGTCAGTGCTCTTAACCACTGAGTCATCTCTCCAACCCCTAGGTTTGCATTTTTAATTTTTAAAAATTAGAAACATTTAAATCATTTCTCTTCATGGTGTGTGTGTGTGTGTGTGTGTGTGTGTGTGTGTGTGTGTGTGTGAATGTGGGCTCAAATCTACCACAGAAGTGCATAGAGGCCAAAAGGTAACTCGTAGGAGTTGGTTCAGTCTTTGCACTTTGCTGAGGGAGGGCCTCGAGTTTCTTAGGGTTCTGCCAGGCTGGCTGGCCAGCAAGCTTCCAGGGAATCCTCCTGTCTCTGCCACTCATCCAGCAGGAGGATTGTTGGGATTATGTCACTTGCTACCTCTTCCAGATGTGTGCCCGAGTTCCCGGAACTAAACTTTGGGTCATCAGGTTTCTACAGCAGCCAATACTTTCAACAGGACATCTTCTGGCCCCGTATTGTTTTGAAGCGTGGTGTCATGTAGCCCAGGCTAGCCTTAGACTCACTATGTAACCATAGGTGGCTTTTATCTTCATGAGTCTACCTCCCAGATTCTGGTGTCACATGCAGGCATATCCATGACGAGCTTGATGTCTGATCTTAGAAGTGAGGTGTTTTCAATTTCTTTCTAAAGATTCCTGTTTTCTCAAAGCAATGATGTTGTAAAAATTTATTCTTGTACGTTTAGTTAAAATAATTTAAGCCTATGATTTTCCAAAGTTGTTGGTCTGGTAGAATAAGAACAAACACTACTTATCCAGTCCTTAGTGGGAGAATTCTCTACTCTGTTCTAGGACAATAATGCTAATAGCTGACACTTATTAACTTTGTCCAAAATTCTTCATGCTAGCACATGTACTTTGTACATGTTAAATAATATCATCTTCATATCAATATCAACCTCACAGATTAAGTGTCCTTAGAACCTCTATATCACAGATAACAAAATAGGCTCAAAGAGATTAAAGAATTTATTTGTCCACAATCATAAGATGAGGAAATAGAAATATCAGAATTTGAACCCAGACAGCCTGGCTCAAAGAGATGTGTTCACTCTGGTGATCTGAGGACCTCTAAGTCTAGGGATAAATCCAAGGACTTTCTATATTTTTAAATGATAAAATATCTTTTACTTTATGGGCGTTTTTCATATATGTGAAGAGATTTTGATCTCATTAATAATCTGACTTCAATGAAGAGTGAATTGTTGATTGCCAACTTAGTTAAAGCCAAGAGAATGCTTTAGTCCTCATCATTTTCCTTGAGACATCTATTATTTTTAGCCATTAAGAAGAGCTAGGTTTTTGTCTGGGGAGTAATATCTGCCAACTCCATGGACCAGTCTTGATTTCTCAGTGACGTATCTTTTGAGGACTTTTGCTCCTGGCTGTCTTCCTCTATCCTCGTCCTTGGTGACATCACCATCCAACTGGATGACCTGTCCAGCATCTTGGCCATTTAGTTCTTTGATTACCTGCTTTGGGAGCAATGACCCATCTTCCCCATTTTAAACTGAGTTACCCGTTTCCATGCTTACAGCCTAGCCCAAGAGCTGCACCGTCTCTGGTTTCAAGCATCTCACTCTACCCAGAACCCATGGTCTTCTCAATTATTATCGCCGCCGGGTTCTGACCTCCTCACATCGTCCATTCATCTGCCCTATACTTTCATTATTACTCTTTAAAACTCTCACATCCTTTCATTTTTCTTCTATCTCCACTCCTTTACTATCCCACTCAAATTCCATATCCATTATTATGACGACTCCCTTGCAAATCCAATAAGTTCTCCGCTCTCCTCTTGATCTTACTGGCCTGCTATAACCTTGACCTTGGTGGAAGGTAAGTGTGTTCCATTTTCCCAAAAAAATGAAACCGAGGAGGAAAATCATACAATAGAGACCACTGGTTTCACTGTAAAACCTTGACCGCCAACCTTTGGTGTTCCCTCAATGCTACTAGGAAATCTACTATTTCCCTCTACAGTGCTTCCCAATGCTAGTCATTTCCCTTGTCACCCAGAGGGTACTTTTGCGTCTGAATACTTCCTATGCAATCATTTACTGCATAATCTACTTAACTTGATTCTGGATGAAAAAAAATCAAAGCTGGGGTTAGCAGTGCACACCTCTAAGTTTTGCAATGAAGCAGGAGGATTACTCCAAGTCTAAGGGCAGACTTGTCAATGTAGTGAGTTCTAGGTGAGCCACGGGATACACAGTGAGACCTTGTCTCAAAATGAAAGCAGAATAATCAAAAGCAATGCACCTATATCTCAATTTTTGTTCTGGATTGCAGGAGGCATGTAGGTCCTTGTGTTCACAGATAAGCACTAAGGAAACACACGGGGTTGTCTCTTCAAAGGGAGAAATGTATAACCTGTTTTCCTCCCAGAAAGCTGGGATCAGTTGTGATTGGTCCGGTGATCTTTGTGCTGTTTCTATGGCCAGGCCCACATCTGATACCCCAGTTACTTTTCATGAGCCTGTTTATCTTGAGCCTGTTTCCTTAGTTAATCTGTAGAACCATCTTCATGGATGATGTCACTTGTACTTTACAAGAGTTTCGAGTAGTCATGCTTTAAGATTTATTATTTATTATACATTCAGTGTTCTGCCTGCAGGCCCAAAGAGGACACTGCTATTATGCACTACGTGGAACACTATGAATATGCTTGAAGCTAATGTGTCAGTTAAGATAGCACAGGTTGTTTTGCAGTACTATTCCTGGTGTTTCAATTATGGAACCAGCCTTGGTATCCAACGACAGAGGGCTGGATAAAGAATATGTACACAACAGGATTTTTTTTCAGTCATAAAGAAAAATGTCAGAATATGCCCAGTGGTGGTGGCCTTTAATCTGAGCACTCGGGAGGTCGAGGCCAGCCTGGTCTACCGAGCAAGTTCCAGGACAGGCTCCAAAACTACAGAGAAACCCTGTCTCGGGGGCGGGGGGGGGGGGAGGAAGAAAGAAAAATGTCAGAAAGTGAATGTAACTGAAGTTAATCACATCAAGTGAATTAAACCAGCCTCAGAAGGACGAAGTTTCTCTTGTTTGTAGTTCCTAGATTTTATATGTATGCATATACATGATGTAGAACTAGGAATAAAACTGTCAGTCAGGCAAAGGGGACTCAGGAGGGAACAGAAAAGCTAGTAGGGCTGGTATGAGAGGGGTATGCTTAGCATACAACATATACTTGCACAAAACCTCAGAAAGTTAAGCCATCGTAACCACTGTCAAGGTCAAGACACCCTGAGCCATAGCAATGGATACATCTGGAAAGGCGGGATGGGATGTAAGAAAAGCTGCTCAGGCCGGATTTCAAGTGTTTCCAACAGCACATGTGTCCCTAGGGCTTTCAAACAGTCTGAGTGTGGTGTTCACATTCAGTGCCTCTAACTAAGGCAAGCTCCTCCACCAAACGACTCTCCTGGCCTGGGATGTCTTCAGCCTTTCCTTTGGCAGCTCTGTGCCCTTGGCTTTTATTTCGTCCCGCTGTGACCTTTGCTTCTTTGGAAAAGGGACTATTCCAATAGCCACATCCAAATCTCGTGGGATCACTTGGAGCTGGTAGTGCAAGACCATCCGCGGTTCTGTCGCAAGAAGCCACGAGGTTACCAGCGCAGCGGTTTACCTCTGTCCTAGGCAGGGTTGTGAAAAGACGGTGGGGCCAAAGAATGTTCACTCACCAGGACAGGCCTCATAACTTTGCAGAGCTAGGCACAAAGTGAATGAACAGCAGAGAGAGAGAGCGAGAGAGAGAGAGAGAGAGAGAGAGAGAGAGAGGGGGAGGGAGGGAGGGAGGGAGGGAGGGAGAGAGCTCCCCATTGAAGGCCTCACTCTCCCTGGGGACTAGAAAGGGGATGGGCTGGGGTTTGGTGGGGGTGATAGGGGAGGATGGGAGGGCGAGGGAACCGGAATTGACATGTAAAACAACCTTGCTTCAAATTTAAATTAAAAAAAAAATTAAAAAAGAGAGAAAGGAAAGAGAGGAAGAAAGGAGGAAAGGAAGGAAGGGGGAAGGAAGGAAGAAAGGAGGAAAGAAAGAAAGAAGGAAAGAAAGAAGGAAAGAAAGAAGGAAAGAAAGGAGGAAGAAAGAAAGGAAGAAAGGAGGAAAGGAATGAAGGAGGAAAGGAAGGGGGAAAGAAAGAAGGAAAGAAAGAAAGGAGGAAAGAAAGAAAGAAAGGAGGAAAGAAAGAAGGAAAGAAAGAAAAAAAGAAAGGAAGAAAGAAAGAAAGAAAGGAGGAAAGAAAGGAAGGAAGAAAGAAAGAAAGAAGGAAAGAAAGAAAGAAAGAAAGGAGGAAAGAAAGAAAGGGAACAGTTGCAGCAAAACCCAGCTGAGAGGGTTGGGTGGAACTCGGGTCAGTTGTCTGAGTGCTGGCCTGACCTGGAATTGCGCTCACGGTGGTACGTGCCTCCTTCCGCATTAACGATCTCTGTCCCTACTGGGAGGGACGGATTCCTAAGGGATGATTGTCTAGTGGCCTGCGGGTCTGGAGGAAGCTTCAGCCACTGGCTAGTGCAGGCTCCAGGCGCCGCCCCCTGTTCTGTTTACTTGTTGCCTCAGGAGACGCACGGGTTCCCCTGGCTCGGTGCGCGGCGCCACTCCTGCTTCTCGGGTCCCAGCAGCATCTCCGGGTACCAGCCAACATGAGCCACGGCAGCTCCTCGGGCTCCGGGAGCCTGGAGCGCCCCCGCGACGCCTCACCGCCCGAGGTAGAGTCGGGGCGGCTGTTTCCTGGGAGGGAACGGGAGCCTCCAGTTTGCAGTAGTGCCCTGGGTGGGATTGCCCAGCTCAGCTCCCACTGGGCCAGTGATCGGAACCACAGCTGCCACGCAGCCTCTCTTGATTACTGAAATTGGCTGAATTCCACCCAGTGGCCTTTCCCCGAGGTTCTTCCCCCTCCCCGTCCCCAGGGAACAAAGGGATTGCTTCACTGAACTGAATTTTCCATTTGGAGCAGTGTCTTCTAACCTACAGGTGCTGCCATTGGCGTTGGGCCCCTCAAGGCCTGGAGCCTGTGTCACTAACAGGTCCCCAAACAGTGTTTGTTTGGAGCTATTTGCTCACTTCTCCTAGGAAGTACTTGGCATTGGGGACTTAGAGGTGTCACACTCCCACAAAGGAATGGAAAGTTCTGGACCAGCCTGGGGGCGTTCTCTCTCTCTGCCTCTCTCTCTCTCTCTCTCTCTCTCTCTCTCTCTCTCTCTCTCTCTCTCTCTCTCTCTGCCTCTCTCTCTGTGGGGTGTGTGTGTGTGTTTATGTGTGATTGCTGCTTTTGGAATAAATCTGACCTAGGAGGTGTCTTCGGGACATACCCACCATATACATCCTTGGGAAAAATTGGATTAAAAGCATGGGTTGAATTTTCCAATATGGTATCAGAATTGAGTTACTTAGCAGACCTGACACTTTTAGGTTTCTCTGATTATCCATATACTGTGGGGAACCAATATCATGGTATGCAAATAGATCTAATTTTTCTTCTGGCAACTTCATATTTGGTATTATATTTTAACTTAGTGTAGTGTCTGCTCTCTGTGAATTAAGACGGTTGAATCATAAGCGTGATACTTTTCTTATTAATATATTTTTAGTGAGCCCATTCGAAGTCAGTTACAGATCCTAACCCCAAATATATTCTTGTAAGAATAAGGGAATTCACTGAAGTGCAATGGTCAAATTCAGAATATTTAGCATGATCATAATCATATTCTTTAATATATATGATCCTCTAGATTTTGGTAATTATCCCAAATGTATGGTACTTTACTTCCACCCCAGCCCCCATCACACAATTGTGTTTAGTGTCTTTAAATTTGAACTAACTCCTCAGCTTTCTGTAGCTGTGACTTCCCATGAGCTGATTATTAGTAGGGGGCTACACAGGGGATTCTGTGTCTCGGCACATTATTTCAGGAGCCGGGGAATATCAGCATGGCTGTTATTGCTGATGTTCTCAACAACGGGGAATGTGTCTGGCACACGTACAATTCCCCTCTGTGATAAGTGAACAAATCCGGGAGGTGGGAGGGTGGCTCAGTGGTTCAGCGCATGTGTTGACCTTACATTGATTGACATGCTGGCTTACAACCTCTGTCACTCTAGTTCCAGTGCACTCACCACCCTCGTCTGGCCTCCGTGGACACCAGGCTTGCACAGGGTGCGCACACACGTATCCTTGGCAACACACCCATGTACATGGAAACATTCGTTTAATCATCATAATCATCATAATTGTGGGATTATCTATTAGGAGAACTTTTGCTATACCTGGGATTTGAACTGGCTTGGAAGAAATTGGATTCATGGAGAAGGGTGGAGACAGGAAAGCCAGCGGTTAGTATAATTAGAATTTGAGTTTATAAAATATTTTATCTGAGATAATCTTAGGTAGATAAGAGGACAGGACATTTCGAATTATATAGTAGGGTTGCTCAGGTGACGAAAGATGCAACTTCGACTTGACTGTCTTCTGAAAGTTTTATGCATTTCCTGCTGCGCTGTATTGCACAATGGATTAAAATACAGAGCGTGGATAGGAGCCTCCTTTTCTGAAGGGATAAAAAGCGGCTCAAGCAATCCAGAGTATTCTACTTCTCCAGAATATCTTGGTTAATCATGTTGCATTAGTTACCCTCCCCTCCTTTTTCTGTGATAGAATATCATGACCAAAAAGATGGCGTATGGAAGGAACTGGTTTGGGCTTTTGGTTCCCGCTGGAGCATCCTTATTGTGGGGGAAGCATGTCAGCAGGCGGCTGGAGCCGGGAGCGTAGAGACAGACACACAGAGCAGACTGGATGTGAGGTTGTGCTGTAACAATCCCAGAGACGTGCTTCTTCCAGCTAGGTCCCAGTTCCTAAGGGTCCCAAAGCCTCCCGGAACAGTGCCATCGACAGGGGACCAAGTCTTCCAATATGGAAGCCTGTGGGGGACATTCCTCATCAGCACCACTGAGTATCTTCTGGGGATCTCAAAGTCAATGTATAAAAGGCACGTCACAGAGCGTCTGCTATGATACTAATTAACGTTAGCCACTGCTCTGTCACTGATTATTTCGACCAGTAGTAGCTCTGCCGCCACCTCAACAGTCCATTTCTTGAGAATCCAAGAGTGAGGCTGAGGCGACGGAAAGAAATGAGCTCTTGCTTTTCCTAGAGAGAGTTCATGGTCCAGGGAACTGGAACCATGGGAGGGATGCTTCCCTTCTCCGGTGTCACTTCAGGAGGCACTTTCCAGGCCAAGATTTTCTCAGTTGAATTTACCCAAATCACCCACGCGAAGAGCTTCACACACCTAGAAAACGAGAGCGGTGGGCGATGTTAGAACTGACTGGAGTGTCTCAGGCAGAGAGGAGGGCGCCAAGCTTTGAGTTTTTGCGATTATAGCTCTGCGGGGGTTGGGGGGGGGAGAGGAAGAAAGACTACTCAAGGATGGGGTCCAGCAGCAGTCAACAAAGGCTCGCACGCACGGATTTAGTTTACGTTATCTTGTTGGGGCCACCAACCAGTGGTGGCGGTCAGGCTGTTTTTCAGCATGGCTGTTTCCACACATTTAGAGGCTCTGAATGGAAATTATGACTCCATTGGGAAATGGAGCAGGCCTCCCTTTTGTGTGCATCGCAGGGGCTGGAGAGATGGCTCAGTGGTTAGCACTGGTCCCTGGTTCAGAGGACCCGGCACATATGGAGCCAAACGACCGGTGATGATAAAGATTAATATCCTAACAGGATAAAGATTTCATTCACCAGGAAATTGTAACAATTCTAAATGTGTATGCAGGAAGTAGTGTGGCCCCCCCCAATACAAGAAGGAAACCTGGTAGATCTGTTAGGATAGACAAACCCACTTATTTTTTTTGTGTGTGTGTATGAATATGTGAGTGTGTGTTTGTGTGAGTGTGTGTGTATGTGTGAGTGTGTGTTTGTGTGAGTGTGTGAGTGTGTGTATGTGTGAGTGTGTGTGTATGTGTGAGTGTGTGTTTGTGTGAGTGTGTGTGTGTAAGTGTGAATCCTTAGATTATGAAATAATTAGACCTAAGCCTAGAAATACTTCATTGGTAGGGATTGGATGAGATGAGATCTTTATACTGTTATGAACAAAGGAAAACTATCAAATCATTTGAGAATGTTAGATAACCCGGCTTTAAGAGAATTCTACACAATCCTGGCCAGAACCCTTCCCAAGTGTTAGGGCCCTGAGGGAAGTCTGAGGGGGGCATGAAAACCAATGTTAATATGAGAGCCTGCGCTGACTCCTGGTCAGGAAAGACTATTACGGCAAACACCGATGGGACTGGAACGAGGAATTCTGTAACCATCTCAGTTCTTAGTTTTGATAAATGTGCACAAGCTGTTTACAGGGAGGCTGGGAAGATGTCTTTGATCAGAAAGTCTTTGTTCAGGATTTGCAACATTCCTAAAATTATAAGTCATTTCAGAATAAAACAGCTAAGATAAATGAATAAATAATGACAGGTTTGTTCATTTACACATTTGACTTTGAGATTTTTATTATAACATTTATCTTCTCTTGGCACCAGTTCTCCAACCACCTGGCTTCAGGTGTGAGGGAACACCTTCAAAACATGGGTAGGACTTTTTTTTTTTTCCCATAATATACTTTAAAGAGATCGTCTTTACTTTGTTTCAGCAGATAGAATGAACGCATTTCAAACAGTGGTGAATGCTTCTTCGTACTTGAATTAAGTCGATGAATTTATAAGAACTTACTTTTTTTCCATGTTCAAGGACATTCTCTCTTTGTTTTGTGTCAAGTTTGTTTTTTCCTTTGAAGTCGGTGTGTTGGCAGCTTTGATCCAGGGGTAGGGAGTTCAAAGGCACTGCTGAAGGGGACCAGGGTGCTACACTCTTTCAGCTACTGGTAAGCCAGGCTGCATATAAAACTATCAAATAGAATAAACGAATATCTCCGTAGGACAGTAGGGAGGGAATTAGTTCGCAAAATACACACCTGCTTTAAATTTCTGAGTAGCCCAAATGAGTCCCTTCTCATTGCACTTTTGTTTATTATTTTTCTTCTCAAACCTTCCCCATGGATATTCGTTTTCAGAGATGTGGTTTTTGGCAGAGGGAGGTCAACATATTGTATCCTGCCAAAGGCGAGAGTTTTAACACCCACGGGTGAATCTCTGTGACTTGGGGGTCACAGATGCAGGTAGTAGGACTTCTTATGGGAAGTTTTGATGTTGAAACCTAAACGTTTGGATTCAAAACTGAGAGCTTAGGAGGACGTGGGAACCGCAAGGGTTTTGCTAGTGAGTTGTTGGAGTAGTCAGCCACAGGGCCACACCAAAGCACGGGAGTCCCTTCCTGCTGCAACGGTAGGGCCTGCCTTAAATCCCAGTCTCATATACGTTGTATGTGAGTAGGAGAAAATTTTTTATTAAAAGCTAAGCAATAGAGAGCAGCATTTCAGAGAGCGATAAAGGCTTCGAGAAGAGAATCAGACAGGTCATAAGCTGGCGGTTCATAGGGCACAGGGCAAGACCCATTTTGCTAGGGTAAGGACGGGTGGTCCTAAGGACATGGACGGCAATGGGCTGAGTCCTGGGTAACCTGGAAGGAGAGTGCCTAAGAGCAACAGACCTGTTGATGGAAAAGGAACAGATGTATTTATTTAAAAGTCGTTGGAGACAGACATTCTGAATTTCCAGTCAGAAACCCAAGAATTTGGGTCTTTTTGGTGATGCTC